TACCAAAGGAGGGGGGGAGGAGTCAAAGGAAGAGGTTTCAAAGAGAAGCAAGATTGGGAGACTCAGACAGAGAAGGAGCAAGAAAATGACAATATGACTTTGGATTGGACAACAAACAAGAAGGAAGCGGGCTTTGCTCTTTAATTAAGCCCGCCGAAGCTGCTGACAGGAGTATGGAGGCCGCATGTCGGAGGGACTGCTCGAGTCTTCTGGCTACGACAGAAGTTTTTTTTCTTTTGTTTTATTTGCTGTTTCCGTGATTGTTATTTCCGTTATGCTGTTGATTTTTCTTTTGTGTTCCTGATTGTAAGACGTTGTTTTTAGATGTGAGGATGAGAGGAATATGGTGACCGTTTTTAGCTTTAGGTTTCCCATTTATGGATCAACCAATTAAATTGGTTCTCTGAAGGTGATTAATTCTGAGTCTGGTTCGCAGGATAACGGTTGTCAGTTTTTTTTTTGTCACTTAACTCATACTCTGAATTATCGGTTATCAATATAAGCCGAATTTTTCCAAAAAAATAGTTCACGAACCAAAATGATATGACGATGATAGTTCTAACTATTTATGCATTTTGCTCCAACTAATTTTATAAAGAAGGTTCGAAACTTCAAATAGACAAAATAGATGTAGTGCAAAGAAGGGAGAAAGACATAAATAGGATCAAAACATTGGCATGGAACACAAATAGGAGTTCAAGTTTTTTAAACCCCAAATAGGAGTACTTTTTCCGTCTCGGACAAAAATAGCCCCAGCCCCCAGATCTCAAGTTGCGGGCGCCGTGTCGCAATTCCTCCAGTGCAACACAACCAACCAGATTCTTCATCTTCCTCAAAGCTACCAAACACCCATCTCCAACAGTCCAACACCAACAATTTTTTACCCTTTTCCTCCTAATCATCAACCGCACAATTTAGAAATACGGTTCCCAGCATATATTGCTCCAAATATACGCAGGCACGCATCATCGTTCACCTCTCCCACAATCAACAACAATGAGGCCCTTGGTGACTGGATTAATTATCAACAGCGTAATTGTTCTCGTTGGTCTACGGTCAGTGTTGAGTTTAATTCCGGTCTACCACATCTTGTCGCCGAAGTAGTCGGCGGATCAGTCACCGGCACAAGTCTTTCTCTTTTTCTTTTTCTTTCTTTCTCTTCTTCTTTAGTGTACGTTTAGCGACATATCTTCCCTGGATTTTCGTAGCTTTTCGATCTTGTTTTACTTTTCAATTTGATAATTCTAACTTTTGATTTTCTAGTTTGTAATACATTTTTGTGGATTCATTTACTATTTTGATGAATTCAGTTTTCAGTAACTTATTTCATCAATAATGATAATACGATGAAAACAATGTCTTCAATATCTTTATTTTGTTAGATTTTATTGCATTATTTTGGAAAGTCAATTAAATTACATTGTCCAACTCTAATAAAAGGGGAAAACAATGTCTTAATAAAATGTCATGTTAAAATAAAGTCAATTTTATTGAAATTTGGTGTCACAATTTAATCATTTATGGCTATAAAATTTTCATTATGGGTGACAAACCTCTGCGGGATCAAACTTTTCACTAACAATGTTACAATTTATAAAAATGTCAATGACAATGTTATAAAAATGCAAATGAAAATGGCATAAGAATGTCAATGTTATCTTGACAATGTCAATGTATAAAAATGTCACCGGATAAAGAAAATGTCCCAATGACATTGTCATTTGTAATTGTGACAATGTCAATAGCTATAATGACAATGTTAATTTTACAAAAAAAGTCACAACGTCGTAAATATGTTGTAATGTTAACTAATTACGATGACAATGTCATAAGAATGTCAATGACAATGTCATAAAAATGTCAATAACAATGTCATAAAAATGGCAATTAATTACAATCTCATAAGAATGTCAATGATTATGAAAATGACATTGTCAACATACATCATTTGTAATCATTAACAATTAATTTAATTTAATGAACTATTTCTTTAAGGTAATTAATTATGACTAAATTATAATTTATTATATTATAAAAGAAAAAAAGAAAAAGGAATTAAAACAGAAATGTACTCGTATTTTAAATAAAAACCTACAAAACCTTAAAGCAACCAACAACTAAGTCAATGCAATTCTCGAAGAGAGTAAAATGCCACATCCACAGTCCCAACATTTCTATGAAAAAAAGCCAGGACAGGGACAATCGTTTTCTCTGAACGGTAGGACCGTAGAAATCTGGACTCTTTGGTATGCTTTAACCGTAGGAATCTGGACTAAAATGAAAATTTAAGAAGAAGATCTAAAAAAAAGTGGATAGAAGTGAAAAGAGATGATATGATAATATTTCAAATAATATAATGCCATCGTTTAAAAGTCAGTGTAATACATTACTCCGTATATGATAATAATGTAGTATATATAATGTCGTTGTTTAAAAATCAGTATCATCAAATGACAATTAATGTATAGAGTAATATAATATCATTGTTTAAAAATTAATGTGAATACATGGCCATTCTTTAAAATTTCAAAGTCATTGTTCAAAAGTCAATGTAACCTAAATTGGGTCAAACTTATTATTGACAATGTATTACAATGTCTAGGAAAATGTTACTCCGTACAATGTAAAAAAAATCACAATGTCAAATAACAAGAATGACAATATTAATGCTATGGATAATGACATCTAATAATGACAATGTCAATGCTATAAAAATGATAACGTCAATGTCGATAACTGTCAATGTTATAAAAATGACATTGTTAATAATGTCAATAGTATAAAAATGACATTGTTATCAATGTATTATAATGTCATTAGATGACCATATAATGCATGCGATGTCATTATATGACAATATAGTGATGACATTGTTTGAAAATTAACCACTTTCATGTGACATTGTGAAATTATGTAATAACATAACATTATGACATTCTAAAAAATTTAATATTGTTTTCGTCAATGACATTGTGATATAGTGACATTGTGAAATATTAGTAGCATTGTGACACTCATATGACATTGCAATATTGACATTGTGATGTTATTATTTTCGTTAATAACATTGTGATATTGTGACATTGTGAAAATACTAGTAGCATTGTGACACAGTGACACTCATATGACATTGCAATATTGACATTGTGATATTGTTTTTATTGATGACATTAATATATTATAATAACATTTTTATTGGATTCAAAATCAATTAAGCAGTAACAGACCACAAACAAAACAAAAAACTATAAATGTGAAAAATTTGAATAAACAACAAATATACAGTAAAAGAAGAAATCTGATTTTTTTATGGATAACCCGTAAAATTATATTGAAAAAGACAACAATTGCAAAGAAAAAGGGCATATCCCTTCACCAACAATTCCAAAGAAGACTACATATTACAAACCACCTCGCAACATATCACCTAAATCCTAGAGGCCATACCACTCAGTAGCAACAACTTTGCAATAACATCAAAAACAAAAACTAGCTGGCAGAACACTCCTATAAAAGGGTAAGTAGAATATTAAAAGTCAATCATATTTGGTGGATAAATTCTATACAGGACTTTATATGTTAGAAACTGAATTTCAGCCAGTATACTCTTAACATCAGCCACCCTTCCTTAAAAAACTTTCAAATTTCTTGCCTTCCAATACTATGAATGGTGCAGCATAAAACCAACCTTACTGCTCATTCTAGCCCTTTGAACTCTTTTTTTACAGCATTTAATTACACTTTCAAGAATTGAATTCAGTCTCCTTATTCCCACCAAAGCACATACTGCCCTGCCCTCCATATCCCATTAGTAACGGGAAAAGCGAAAAAAAGATGCTCAATGCTTTACAAATCAGAATTGCAGAAACCACACACCCTATCAATATTCGAAAACCATAAGCTATTTGCTGTTGATAGCCGATTCTGGATACACAGCCACGCAGTGAAAAAATAGTTTGGAGGGATATAGTTTTTCTAAATCAAAGACATCCAAGGTTTTGAAACATTTTTTGTTCTCAGCAAATTACAAATTTTCAAAGACACCAACTTTCCATTGTGACGTTTTGCCACAACTAAATCAGAAATTCAAAATAATGAATGAAGAACAATTAAAAATGAAAGAAGAAGATTTATTAAAAGAAGAACCATTACCTCGCCGTAATGTAAATATGTAATGAAGAATCAAAAGAAAAGGGAGGAAAAAAGAAGATAGCTAGAGAAGAAAGGAGATGAGGATAAGCAGAGCAGGAGAAGGACTGAAGGAAGATCGAAAGCAGAAGAGTAGAAGAAACCACACGTAGCAGGGATCAGTCCGCTGCCGCTGACTCCGCCGCCGACTCTTAACCGCCTTCACCGTCACAATCGGAGTACGTGTAGTGTCCGAGCTTCTGTGTGCTATTATGAAGAAGCTGAGGTTTCAGATCTGATCCTCTGAGCCGTTCAAAGGCAGCAGGGGTAAAAATGGTAGGCCGGTTAAAAGTAGTCTTATTTAAGGTTAAAAAAAGTTAGACTCCCGTTTAAGTAAAGGAAAAAGGTGCAAATAGGCCCATGTACTAACCATAAAAGGTCAAATAAGCCCTTATTTAGGAGGCTCTGTCCGGCCGTCGTCATTTGGGGTGGTTTCCGGTGGAATTTTTTGATGAAATTTTTTGAGCATCTTATTCATGAAGTCTAGTTTACTCATACCAAATTTCAGCTAAAACTTTAATCGGGAAGGTATTCAAATGAATTCTTGAAGATAACTGTGCTTCTAACTGCGCAGTTATTTTCAAGAATTCATTTGAATGTCTTCCCGATTGAAGTTTTAGCTGAAACTTGATATGAGTAAACTAGACTTCATGAATAAGATGCTCAAAAATTTTCATCAAAAAATTCCACCGGGAACCACTCCAAATGGCGACGGTCGGACAGAACCTCCTAAATAAGGGCTTATTTGACCTTTTTGGTTAGTACATGCGCCTATTTACACTAGGCATGGTTTTAGCAAAAAATAGAAAAGTCAATGATCAATTGAGTCCTTATCCAAGAGAAGGATAAGGAAATTGCAGAAACTTATGGATCCAATGTTGACAGGGGTTCTGATAGTATTGGCCTCTATTCTCATCCTATCCACCGCCCGTTTTATCCACGGCAAGAAGAAAAGATCCCGGAATCTTCCGCCGGGCAGCTTCGGATGGCCGGTGGTCGGCGAATCGCTGGAGTTCCTCCGCTTAAGCCGGGAAGGGACGCCGGAGAAGTTCGTGGCGGACAGAGTGAGGAAATACAAGTCTGGGGTGTTCAAGACTAGCTTGATGGGGGAGGCGGTGGCTGTGCTGAGCGGGCCGGCGGGGAACAAGTTCCTGTTCAGCAACGGGAACAAGCTGGTGGCGACGTGGTGGCCGGCTTCCGTGCAGAAGCTGCTGGGAGTGTGCCTGACGACCAGCGCCGGCGAGGAAGGGAAGAAGATGAAGAAGCTGATGTCATACTTCGTAAGCCCGGCGGCTCTCCAGCAGCTGTACATCAAAGATATGGATTTTGTGACGCAGCAGCATCTTCAGGCTCACTGGCACGGTCAGACTTCACAGCTCATTTTAAAACTACTGGTCAAAAATCAAAGTAGGAATGATAAACACGTGAAGTATATTTTTCTGGATGGAGATGAATTAGTGTCGGTGGTGAAATTAAAAGTAGGGAAATTTATCAAAAATAAGACTAAATAAATCCTTAATTGTCAAAATAGGACTAAACTTTAAAAATTCCCTAAATGGGAGTTATTATCTCTAATTAGACATAAACACCCCTGGAGCCCTGAAAAAAGCCTGCCGTTGACAGAACCTAACCCATCGCCGGTCGCCGCTGGTCAACGGTCGCCGGTCGCCGGTCGCCGGTCGCCGCCGGTCATCGGTCGCCAGCCTCCTCCTCCTCCTCAGAACTTGATGTCGCCGCAATAGATTTGATCGCCGTTGGTGCAGATCTGGACGTCACCGTCGTAGATGTGACCAGATTTGTCCGCCCTTAGCCGCCGACCATGCAAATCGGACTGCCACCATTGGATGTCCGGCCGTCGCCACTGCAGATCCGGCCGGCCCCACCGCTAATGCCAACATTTCTCTCAGAATGCCAAAATGAATCAAGATTGCCATCTTAATGGCATTTTTGAAAGAAATTACAAAAAGTTCTGAAGTGTAAAAATGCCATTTTGATGGCATTCCAGAGTAATATTTGGCAATTTGAAGCACCCAAGAAGAAATAGAGCACGTATGTGCGATGAAACAAAAGAAGGGAAGAGAGAAGCACATGAGAGGAGGAGAAAAGAGGGGAAGATACTCCGGCTATAGATCTCGACTCACTATTCACTCGTTGCTAGGCTCTGCTCCTCTGCCCGCCTATATTGTTCGTTGCTGCTCGCCGCATCAGGAAGCTGTGAAAGGAAGAGGGGACATGGTGGTCTCTGCCGCTGCTCTCCGGCGCTAGCCGGCGTTGTTCGTCCATACTCGTTGTCGGTCGCGGTTGAAGCAGAAGCCCAAATCTGCGCGCAAAGATGCCGCACTGTTGAAATTCAGCGATGTTGAAATGCAATGTGCGAGTAAAATGATAGGAGGTCGTGAGCCTCAGATGGGTTAAATAGGTTAGAGGGTAAAATTGGAAGAAGAGTCCTATTTAGGGAATAAGATTATACTACTCCTATTTTGGAATTTCAGCAACAATTTAATCCTATTTGGGGCTATTTTCTCATTAAAAGTATTACTCCATATATTCTGTCATAAACATATACCCCGTCCCTAAATTAAGTTCCAAGAGAAGAGAAAATGTGTAATAATGTGAAAAATTACTGTCAAGAACAAATTTTTTATTATAACGGGAAGAAAAGTTTATTTTGGGACGTTCAAAATGGAAATTTGTAAGTTTAATTAGGGAGTATCAATATGCAGAATAACATTAATGACTCATATTTCATTACTTTACGAACATTACTCATATTTTGGAATTTTATAATTTTATTCATCATATCTTGGTTAATAAAAACAATTATTCCCTCTGTCCCATTTTATAAGATATCTTTACTATTCACTTGGTCAACACAAATCACTCTTAATCTCTTACTTTATATATCAAAATTTTATGAAATTTGAATTACTTGCTGGTTTTATAGCGGTTTTAGGGTCTGTTTGCAACAGATTTTGCTTTTAAAAATGTTTTTTTAATGAAATGGGGAGAAGTGATTAAATAAAAGTTGATAGTCTTTGAGAAAAAAGTGATTTTAAAAAGTAAAAGTTGGCAGTGTTTGGTAAAATAAGTGCTTTTTGTGTAACACGTAGTAGAAAAAGTAAAAACACTTTTCACACGAAAGTTGAAAAAAATAAAAGTTGGTAGTGTTTAATAGAATAAGTGTTTTTTAAGCCAAAAGCTTAGAAGTGTTTTTTTAAAGCATTTGCAAACCAACCATTAATGGCTTAATGCTGTTGCAGCCAAAGATCTGTTTGGTTTATCGTCGGTCAAACATCATAAATCGAAAGTATCTTATAATTCGGGATGGAGGGAGTACGTAGTACTGTATATAAGAGCAGGTTAGTGACCTGTTTTCAGTTTCATCGATTAACTTTTTCACCAAACATTTTAATTTTGATTTTGCTTGTAGAATTTTTACTAGTAATAATTAAAATAAGTAAGGTTAGAATTATTTTTTCTAGATGAATTAATTGAAATTAGATTACAGGACAATTTAGTTATTTTTTGTATAATTTTTTAATATCAATTTTCATAATTCAACAGATTCAACTTATTTAGCCTCTTCAGTTAGAATTTAATCGATTTCAGCAGAATCAGTCGATTAGCCAATTTCACTATTGTCAAACGAACTCTAAATTTAAATTTGTTTCATGTTAATATGGTAGGATCAACTTTGTTCATTTAAATTTCAATAAAAAAGTTACATTCCAAATTTGTAATACTTAACACATATGCACAACTTAATTAAATTTATGTAATATATTAAAATATTACGAAGTAAATGATATAAATTGAAGTGACATACGAAAGGAGACATGATATATACTATCCTTGCTAGATTAATCAAAAAATTGGAGGATTTTGTGTGTGATAACGGACTAATTCTAAGTCTCTTTCTAATAATATGACTTATTTACTCGCATTAAACTTTACTTTTGGAATATTTTATCAATCGTGAATATTGACCGACGTAAAGAGCTACACAATCGAAGGTTACCTTGGAGTTGGTGGGATTAATAGAATCAATATGGTAAACATATCATTCAACAATTTCATCAGTTTGATCTTCGTAACAAACTGAACATAAAATACGAAATAGGATTGATCTATCAAGTATTTCTCCTAATTAACTGCCTTATCTCTAACCAGGCGACCTTGCCTTGACCATATATTAGTAATGGGATGAAATTATGAAAAATGATTGTGACTTCCTTTTCTGAAACATTTTCGAGCAAATATCTTGAGAACTGTTGTTATAATAGAGTTCTTGAATATTGGATGATTGGTTTAGGGCTAATAAACTTATATACAAAGAACTTGGACCAACTAGTTGAAAAATTGATACCATCCATGAGTTAGCTCAACTCTAAGTTTTTTACTCATATGCATCTGTACTGCTGTACAGTATTCTATTAGGACACAAGATTGATACTACAAAATTCATTAACATACACAACATGGATGAGAAGTAGAGAACTTGACTAATTAATAGTTATCATTGTATATACTAGCATAAATATATTGAAAACAGAATATATTGAAAATATAATCTTTGGCGTGTGTTTAGGTGAGGAGACACTGAAAGTGTTCCATGTTGTGAAGTTGTACACTTTTGAACTAGCTTGTCACTTCTTTATGAGTGTTGAAGACCCAAACCAAATAAACAAGCTTTCGGCCCTATTCAACATTTTCCTCAAGGGAGTCATATCACTGCCCCTGGATGTCCCCGGGACGAGATTTTATCGCGCAATAAGAGCAACTAATCTAATTAGGGAAGAACTTCTTGCGATTGTGAAAAAGAGAAGAGAAACGATGAGACAGAATGGAACTTCAACCGCCAATGATCTTCTCTCACATTTGCTTCTCACACCGGACGATGATGGGAAATTTATGTCTGAGTTGCATATAGTGAACAATATAATCATGCTTTTGTTCGCTGGCCATGACACTTCCAGTGTTACTATCGCCCTGCTCGTAAAGAAGCTCGGGGAGTTGCCTCATGTTTACGAGAAGGTCCTTAAAGGTATGAGCACACACAATTTCTTATCCTTTTATACATATCAAACCTAACCATCTTTTAAGCTGTAAGGTTTTAGACTACTTTTCTTAATGCATTGACCTCATAGAACCTTAGATCTTAGTATAATATTGTTGGGATATATTATCCTGACCTACTACCGTTCAGAGGCCCAAGACACCGCCCCGGTACGGGGCCCAGTCGGTGTGGTCCGTTTCGGCCTAACAGACCCATTCCGGCCCAACACTGCCCATTTAGGCCCATTGGCTCAAATGGGGAAAACTCTCATACCCCTCCCCCATCTATAAATAGGAAGCAAAGCTTCCTGCTAAAGGATCCGATTTTTGGCTCTCCTCTCCCCCACAACTTCATTTATTGTTTTACTTCTTTAGATTAGAGAAGCTTCCCACCTCCATTAATGGAGTCCCAAGAAACTTGTACTATGTAATTTGTGAGGAGAGCATATTAATGAGAAAGAGCGGGCTTGGACATTAGTCTAAAAAGTCACGTGATTTTCTCCCTTTCCGGGTTTCCACGTAAAAATAACTAGTTCATACACTTTTATATATTTATTTACTTTTATACCAAATTCATCGTCTCTAATATCCAAAGTTTATGTTGGGTATTGGATCTACGAGACAAAAACTCAACATTGGCACCGTCTGTGGGAATCAGTTAAAAAAGATTTATGTGTTCTTGATGCTGCAAAGATTCTGACCGAATAGAACTAATTCTAACAAAGAAAAAAAGGAACAAAGATCCTGGGAAAGCAAGTAACGAAGGAGAGAATGATTCCGAAAAAAACAAGAAGTGGGAGATAGAAGCAAAAGTAGGTCGCAGTGATGTTCCAAGATCTGCAAAACTGTATACCAGGACAACCTCCCACACCGAGGTGACCCGGATGAGCAAACACCACTCGATGGAGCTCAATTGCAAACTCATCCAGCCCACTGATAGCGGATACCTGAACGGACCAGAAAAGGGTTCACTACAGCTTCCTGATCGGTTATCTTTATCGAGCCAGATGAAAAAACTTCCGCCAGGAAGGGGGTCAGGGGTAAGTGGGTCAGGGGTAAGTCTCGACTGGTGCCCGAACAGGCAGGCCCTCCGCCGTCCGGCCTTCCTGCTGCATGAGGATCACAAGACCCAACCGCCATACCAAATCCTCCGTGCCAGGCCAGGGCTATCGGGTTCTTACCGTGAAGTCACCTAGCTTCGGGACTGGCTCCCTTGAATTTCGAATAGGGTAGCAGATCCCGGTCAGTAGATTCCGTTCAAGCAAACCGGCCGCCATGCGATCAACAAAGCCGCTCCCCTGGTCATGCGGCAGTGGCCCCTCGATGTTCTAGAACTTGGCCGATCGGAGTTCCCGTTCGACATAAGGCCATATTTTGGTGGACCGACCTGGCGACATTGGGGTAAGGCTGGAGGACGGGTGAGGCTGTGAAGGACTCTATATTGTGCAAGTGGAAGTGGGAGATGTGCCCAAACTGAATAAAGACCAAGTATCGGGTCTTGATCCTGGGAATGAGTAGCACGGATTCCGACCACTTCTTGGAGCGGAACTCAAAATAAAGCATTGGGCTGGATCTCATGTGACCAAGTTAATTCCAATCGGGTCAATTTATTGACTCGACAGCTGAAATTCAGCCTACCCAGCTAAGTACTATGATCCTTTGTGCTTATACTTCAAAGTATTATTTGCCAAATAGGGTCATTGCTATTTGTTGGATACACCAATATTTGCTACGGATTAAAATATCCCAAGTTAAATAGCAACCGAGCGAAGCTCTAGCAAAAAGTTCACCATCATTCGAAATTAAATGATTGAGTTTTGGTAGGCCTATCGGCCGCCCCGGTCAACATTAGATGCTCATCCATTAAAGAATTAATGGTTTGATTAATATCATTACCAGTAGTTATTAGGGATTAAATCTCTCGAACAGAATAGTGTCGAACGAAGCTTTATAAATAAAATCACCAACATTTTAATTAAATGCTTGGTTTGACTAGGCGCGTTGGTCCACCGCCGATTGGCCCAAACTTAGCTAAAACGTCTCGCAAGGGCGTTGCCCGATGACGTATTTTAATTTACAAGACTCTTCATGGTCCCGCTCGGCATTCAGTGCTCGATCGATAATTATACCCAGTACGAGGCGAAGTACGTACACGTGTTACCATTTGAAAGAGCGACCCGGCAAACCCCTAGGTGGTTCCGGTTGTGGACTCTTACAGTTTGAGAAATAAATCTAGGCCAAGAGCTATTATTACCGCTTCGGCCGGTAGTCATGAATAAAAAGTAAAAAGAAATGTTACACGTGTGTGTATTTACTTGTATATGTTGTTCGGCTGTTCCGCCGTATTACCATGTTGATTGTGCAGTGAAATTCGATCGTTCGATATTCTCGAACGGGGAGATCATCAAGCACAGAGATGTTCATGACGATTCGGCATGAAGCGCATATACATTCAGTTTGGCAATATAAGACCATGGAAATATAAGACCATGGTAGTAAGACCATACATTCAGTATGTCAACATAAGACCATGGCAGTAAGACCATACATTCAGTTTGGCAATATAAGACCATGGCAACATAAGACCATGGCAGTAAGACCATACATTCAGTTTGACAATATAAGACCATGGCAACATAAGACCATGACAGTAAGATCATACATTCAGTTTCGTAATATAAGACCATGGCAACATAAGACCATGACAGTAAGACCATACATTCAGTATGGCAACATAATAAGACCATGACAGTAAGACCATACATTCAGTTTGTCAATATAAGACCATGGCAACATAAGACCATGGCAGTAAGACCATACCTTCAATTTGGCAATATAAGACCATGGCAACATAAGACCATGGCAGTAAGACCATACCTTCAGCCTAACAATTCAACATAAGACCATGGCAGTAAGACCATACCTTCAATTTGGCAATATAAGACCATGGCAACATAAGACCATGGCAGTAAGACCATACCTTCAGCCTAACAATTCAATATAAGACCATGGAAACATAAGACCATGGCAACGTAAGACCACACCATGGCGACGAACATTTTATGCAGCACGCACGGGCTCCACAACACCGTCGTGCCTGGCTCTCGATCGGGCTCGTCCATCCTTGTTCTGGGATGGTGATGTGAGTTTTCTCGCACTTAAAATAGATTGTAATATAGTGGTGTAAGTACGAGTATCGTCTCCACAGGGACGGACAAAAGGGAATCAAGAGTTAATTAAATTCAGCGATTAAAAGAAATAAATAAAAATGCGTCGTGCGAGATTGGTTGCTGGAAAATAAAAATGCGAATAAAATGATTAAATTAGGGGGTTCTTTCTAATTAATGACGAAGGGAACATGGATTGATTTCGGGGTAACCAGATTTCTGGCAGATCAGGCCTAATTACATGAAATTAATTTAATTGGGCCTAGCTAATCATTACTAAGTTCTTACCGCTCTCGCGGCGTAGAGTACAATAATTTAGGGGACCAGGCTGATCTCTCATGCGACAGGATCCTAGATTATTGCCAAGACGAGCGAGCTTACGGTCCCTTAATCGCTACTAATCTCTTAGCGAACTATTAAGTGTGTGTGAATGTGTCCTAGAATAAACTAGATCTCTCTTAATTTATTCTACAAGCAATTGTAATTCTAGCGTCCGTTCTAGGTTACAAAAGATATCAGTTAATTTATTCAAACACAAATTAAACGACATTCATACAATTAAACCGAAGGGAATCTAGCCATACATCATGATCAACCCCAAATCCCTAATTAAAACTACTCACAATTCATAATTGAAGAATCAATAGAATTGGAATAAAAAGAATTAATTGTCATTAATTAAAAAGGTGGAACTTACAAAGAATCCCAAAAGATTGATGAACAAGGCTGAAAAGCCCTCTAAAATTCGTGTTAGGCACTCTCTCTAAGCTCCCCCTCGAAAACAGGGGTTTACAGGATGTTTAAATAGAAAAATCGGGTAAAATTTGAGCTGAATTGGGATTTTCGGAGGCAGGCACGGTGTCAGGCACGATCGTGCCTCCGGAGCAAAAACGTACATTTTGAGCAGGCACGATCGTGCCTGGGTGGCAGTAACTCCGCGGTGCTTTTCTCTTCAGGCACGATCGTGCCTGACTTTGAGGGCACGATCGTGCCTACTTAACTTCCGAGTTTGGCAATGCTTTCTTCATAAAAGTTGTAGCTAATGAATCCCTCTATCCACCCCAATTTGCCGAGTGTGATTTGAATCATCCAATCAAGAGATATGATCAAAACGGTGGAAGGTGTCTTTCTGAAATCGCAGCAGAGATCATCTGACTTCAACGTCTATTTTCACCTTCTTCCTCTCAGATTCTCGCAAAGGTGTCTTCATATGATTTGTAGCCCTTGAAGTTAGCTTTCATATAGAACTTGAATCGTGTGCATTAGTGGTTTCTACAAAGAGATATGCTTTAATGATTTACAGAAGGTCATCCTGATCGTCGTTTTCAAGCTTCATTCATCTTGTTTTGATCCCGAAGCCAATCCTAGAGCTCTTTTGTCATCAAATCTTCATCGTAAACCTCCCGGTGACCTCCATAGCTCTCAAATCAATTTCAAATACTTCTCAACTCATCCCGATTTCTCCTCAAGCGCCGGTGTCGAACTCTAAATTCCTGATTTTGACTGACACAAAACTCGAACCAACGCTTGGTAAACATAACTTGAGCTAAAATTGAGACTTGTAACACCTTAAAGCTAGGAAAACTATCAAAATCCAATCCCAACATGCATCAATTGCGTGTCTAAATACGGACTTATCAGATGGCGACCGCCGCTTTTATGCAGCACGCACGGGCTCCACAGCACCGTTGTGACTGGCTCTCGGTCGGGCTTGTCCATCCTTGATTTGGGATGTCGACCGCCGCTTTTATGCAGCACGCATGGGCTCCACAACACCGTCGTGCCTGGCTCTCGGTCGGGCTCGTCCATCCTTGATTTGGGATGGCGACCGCCGCTTTTATGCAGCACGCACGGGCTCCACACCACAGCCCCGTCGTGCCTGGCACTTGGTCAGGCTCGTCCATCCTTGATCTGGGATGGCGACCGCCGTTTTTATGCAGCACGACCGACTGGCTCTTCAGTGCCGTCGTGCCTGCTTCTCGGTCGAGTCCGCCCATGCCATTCAGGGTCGGGACCGCCGTCTTATGCAGCATGAGCGGCTGACTCTTCAGCGCCGTCGTGCCTAGTGCGGGATTGCACCTCACTTATGACTTGTGGAGGCCTTGCGTCCAAAACTGTTGAAAGACTCTGATTCAGGGAAGGCAGAGAAGGACGTGAACAAGATTATACTTTCTCAAGTAGATTTGCAGGCTCACTACTCAAGAAAGTGGGGGACTTGTGTTGGGATATATTATCCCGGCCTACTACCGTTCAGAGGCCCAAGACACCGCCCCGGTACGGGGCCCAGTCGGCGTGGTCCGTTTCGGCCTAACATGCCCATTCCGGCCCAACACGGACCATTTAGGCCCATTGGCTCAAATGGGGAAAACTCTCACACCCCTCCCCCATCTATAAATAGGAAGCAAAGCTTCCTGCTAAAGGAACCAATTTTTGGCTCTCCTCTCCCCCACAACTTCATTTATTGTTTTACTTCTTTAGATTAGAGAAGCTTCCCACCTCCATTAATGGAGTCCCAAGAAACTTGTACTATGTAATTTGTGAGGAGAGCATATTAATGAGAAAGACCAGACTTGGACGTTAGCCCAAAAAGTCCCATGGCTTTCTCCCTTTCCGGGTTTCCACAGAAAAATAGCTAGTTCATACACTTTTATATATGTATTTACTTTTATACCAAATTTATCATCCCTAATATCCAAAGTTTATGTTGGGCTTTCGGATCTACGAGACAAAACTCAACAAATATCAAAGCTCATTATGTTGTAATGAAAATCTCTATCTGATTAAGAATTACAAAGACCATGCAGATTACAAAACTGGTCTACTTTATGTATTTAATGAGATGTCATATTAGAAGGACACTTTAAGTCACAAAACATTGATTTGCAAATTTTATTAGGCAATGACGGCTTTTAAATAGTACAGTTTCTATGTCTATTCGTAGGGTTGTCTTTTGTTGTGGGTGGAGGATAGTTGCTGTTAGTGGTATTTATGTGTTTGATGTAACGATCATGTTTCTAATGATATTAATATAAGGCGAGTGTTCCTGTAAAAAATATAGTACAATAGCTCTTGACAATGTTTTGTTCTTCTAGCCAAAACCTTCATAATGACAAATGCTAAAAAGTGAAACATATTTATTTTAAATGTGATTTTCGGATAAGCAGAGCAAAGAGAGATTGCATCTTCAAAAGAAGTTGGAGAGTTTCTTAATTGGAATGACATACAAAAGATGAAGTATTCATGGAATGTTGCTTCTGAAGTAATGAGGCTATATCCTCCTGTCTTCGGAGCTTTCAGAGAGGCACTTGAGGACATCAGCTATGAAGGTTATGACATTCCCAAAGGGTGGAAGGTAATAATACTCAATATATTTATAGTACATTATATTTTAGACTTAACAGAGCAAAAGATGCTAAAATTTTAATTTTTTTCTTGTAAATAAAATGAACTTTATTGTCATCATAAAGAATGTTTTGTTTTCAAAACACAAATGAGCTTCGTTGTGAACAAAAAGTGCAACCCTTTTTGTGACTTCTTATTTACCACGAAGAGTATCATTTTCTCTAAAACTGCAATGCACAAGCACATACACCATTTTGGTGTAAATGTAACTATCAATTGGTCAAACATTTAAATTGTGTCATTGTTCTTATAACCTAATATTCTTATTTATCACAATTTGTTATGTGCTTATACTATAATTCCTCCGTCCCTATTTAATGTTCCCATTTTCCTATTTTGGACGTTCCTTAAAAAATCTCTTTCCTCATTTTGTAAACAAAACAGTGTCAAATCGTGTCATTTTCTTAATATGTGTGCAATTCGAAGTGAAGACATGAAATAGGGACGGAGGGAGTAATTAATGGGGCGAAATATAATTGAAGATAATATCAATTTTGTCTTGTATGTTGGTTTGTGTATTCATACATAGCCGGTGTGGACTGTCTAACACGTTACACGTGTAACGTTATTGATAAGAAACAAAGTAGTGTGGGGGCAATAGACTGCTATATCTAGATTTGTGAGTACTAGTTATTCGTGAAAATATTGTAGATATTTCCCACTTTATGTGTGTTACCCCGATTTAATTTAACCCAAGTATCCAACGGATTGAATACAAATATTATCTCTATGAACACAAAGAAATATATATTCAGCCTTAAATAATCGTTTTTTTTTTTCACATAATTGTTGTCTCGATATTGTTTGTGTCATGTAAACATAACAATCATTTGTAGTGGCAAAAGGAGTAGTAACAATAACAACAGTAATACAATCATCATTTGAATGTAGCTCAGCCTATGATTTGTGGATTTTGACAGTTTTACTGGAACGCTCCAATTACACATCTCAATAAGAGTTTATTCCAAGACCCGATGAACTTTGATCCATTGAGATTTGAAGGAGATGGACCTCCACCTTACACATACGTTCCCTTTGGAGGAGGGCCGAGGATGTGCCTTGGTAAAGAGTTTGCTCGGTTGGAGATACTTGTTTTTTTACCCAATCTGATTAAGAGGTTTAGGTGGAGCTTACTTGTGCCCGATGAGAAAGTGCAATATGATCCCATGCCCATTCCTGTGGAAGGTCTTCCTATTTGTCTTCATCAACATTAATTATGAAAGATTACACTGTTCCTAATTGGCACGAGAAAGAGATGTGAGATAATATTTTGTTCTTCCCTTGCTTTCTTATATAGAACTTTATAATTTAATAAACATTATTATCCTTGACTAAATTTTATTTTATTTTGGATGTATTAGTTTTATTTGTACATGTTGTATTAAATGTAATAAACATTGAAAAAATAATGTCTAAAGTCTTACATTCTTTGCTTTTCAAAAAAATGTTTTACATTCTTTACGTGAGTAAGACGCATAAAATGGAATAGAATGCATATGTCTAATTATAAACCTTGTCCAATTCTAAAACGAAAGTATACCATTATTAATTATAGGGAAAAGGTGCAAATAAGCTCATGTACTAATCAAAAAAGGTCAAATAAGCCCTTATTTAGGAGGCTCTGTCCGACCGTCGCCATTTGGGGTGGTTCCCGGTGTAATTTTTTGATGAAAATTTTTGAGCATCTTACTCATGCCAAATTTCAGCAAAAACTTCAATCGGGAAGGCATTCAAATGAATTCTCGAAGATAACTGCGCTTTTAACTGCGCAGTTATCTTCGAGAATTCATTTGAATGCCTTCCCGATTGAAGTTTTAGCTGAAATTTGGTATGAGTAAACTAGACTTAATGAATAAGATGCTCAATAAATTTCATCAAAAAATTCCACCGGGAACCACCCCAAATGGCGACGGCCGGACAGAATCTCCTAAATAAGGGCTTATTTGACCTTTTTTGGTTAGTACATGGGTCTATTTGCACTTTTTTCCTAAATTATAAAAGCAAAATTCATGAGAGGTAATGATTTTTTTTGGTACAATTGCAATGAAGCTTGTTAAGTTCATAAACGAAGGAACCCAAACTTTGGAAAAAGACGTCTCATCGGGCTATTTCTGTATCGGTGTATCGGAAACGTTCCCGTATCCGATACTCTAGGATACACATACCGTACGTTCCCGTACCGTATATGCAATTTTTAAAAGTTTCCATTTTTTGGTAATTATTTTAAAATTTTGGATACTCGTATCTTGACAAATACTCGTATCAACTTTAAAAAAATATTCTTCAAACAAAAAACTGTTTAAGAAAACACTCAAAATTTACATAGTAAAATTCTTAAAAAAATCAAAAGCTACAAATAATTTTACCATGCTTTTATGTGGTACACAAGTAATGAGCTTATTCCTAATTCACTCATCCTCCTACTCCTGTTTCTAATTATCCTTGGAAATTAATAGCTCCAAAGGAAATATGTAATAGAACTTTTGAAATATTTTATGTCTTTATTATTCTAGAACTTTGAGCATTTTCACTTTTAGGGGGTGTTTGGAACTAATTCTGCTTCTGCTTCTTTTTAAAGCAGAATCAGAATCAGAATGAGTTTTCAGAAGATGGTACCTCCTATCTTCTAAAAAAACTGATTCTGGGAGTAAATTAGAGCACCAGAAGTGCTTCTGGAATTTCATCCAAACACTTCAACTTCTGTTTCTGCTCCCTGAAGGAGCAAAATCAGTTTTGAGAATCAGATCCAAACACCCCCTTAATTTAAAAACTTTAGTAGTTTGACTTATTTCTCGTTTTAAATTAATGAATGTACTTATTGGCTATATTTATATTTCGAAATGCAATGGTGTATATAAGATAAAATATGAGTTTATTTCTAAGTATCTTGAAAGTGTAAAATGCTTCAATGCCATGAATGGGTAGACGTAAGAGGATAATATATGTGTATTTTTTAAAATGTATTTTTAATATTTACAAATACACTTTTAATATTTATAAATATGGTCTCGTATTCGTATTATACTTTTTTTGGTTTTGTCGTATCCCCGTACCCGTTTCCGCGTTTACGGGTACCCGTATATGTGCTACATAGACTTCAACCAATCCAGTCATACATGAAACTCTAATCTTATTTAATTTTATTATAATACAATCATTTTCAATTTTTGCAAAAAAAAATGATGGTTTGTAAGGGATTATCAATTTTGACGACCACTTTTAAGTCAACGAATAATCACACAATTTTTAAAAATTATTGGTGTTAGCCAGAAAGTTGTGACTATTGAGCTACGATGAGTCACGCATTGGTGCAATTATTGGGTATTGATTCTTTTTTGTTGTGGCAATCCTTTTTATTTGATGGAGTGTATATAGACCAAAAGAGGTAAGCCCACCAGTTATCCTTTTTGTTTTGGACTTTTGATGTAGACCAAATGACCATAATAGGTTTGTGAGTTTGTCCATGTTACTCGAAAGTCCACTCACTTGAGAATTAAGATATCCAAATTTGCGGTTTTCATTATCGGATCACCCAATAACTAAGGACCCATGAACTGTATCAGTATGGATGCTTGAATGCCAGAAACGTACCCCACGAGCCACGAATAAATTCATACTCACCTACCGTTTCGAGAAACAATTTTATTATCGGATCATATCAGACTTGGATAGTTATAAAAATATAAAGAGACTAGATATTACCAGAACAGATCAAATCAGTTCAAACCAAACCAGATCAGCAAATTACAGTCCAAATAAAATATACTACCTCCGTCCCTAAATGTTCTTCCAAAATAAAGTGGCACGCTGATTAAGAAAGTGAGAATTGTGTGGTGAAGAGTTGTGCAGAAGAGAGAGAAATGCTGTGAACCATAAATTCTTTGCAAAATAGAGAAAGTGAAGTTCTTTTTGGGACGGACGAAAATGAAAAGTTGGAAGTTCTTTTAGGGACGGAAGGAGTACTTAAAGAATATTTTTTATTTTTGAATCATGGTTCACAAACAAAACAAACATGTTTTTGTCGGTAATAAAAGTTCACGGACAAAAAAATCTTTCATAAAAGTGGGTATACGAGCGAGTATAAAATTACATATCGAGAGCTTGTTTGGTAACTATTTTTTTGACTTATCAGTCATCTTTTTTACCAAACACATAGCGGCGGACACAAGGAGACTCTAATGGTAGTCGCCTCCCCTCCAACTTTTTTCCATAGGTATTTTTTACACTGCCGCCCTGCCAATCGAAAATTCCTGCGTCCGTCGCATCAAATGCGTAAATTTTTATTTCACATGTTGAATAGTGTAAAAATCAAATTAAATAAGATTGTAATTACTTGTAAGACTGCATGACTGAAGTTACTATGTAAGACCATTTTTCATTTTTTCATATAATATACGTAGTATTTTTTAATTTTGTTAATGAAAAATAATTTAAATATAAATTTTTCATAAAAATTAACAGTATCAACTAATATAGTCACTTCAGCCAGAACTTAATAAAATTCAACAGAATCAACTGATACAACAAATTTCAATATTATCAAACGAACCCCGAATTTTAATTCGAAAAACTGCCGGGATTGAATCTTCCAATGTGACAAAATATAGGGGCTGAACCGAAAGATTCGCCTGGGCTTTCCGAATCCAGGCTCTCCAAATCTCAAAATCAAAACCCTCTCAAATTTTCTTCTCCCTCTAAAAACCCAAACCCTCCCTTTGCGCTTTCTCTTTCCTCGACTGCTTCTGGCGGCTGGCTCAGCACCTGTGATACCCCCAACCAGTTCTCAGCTCTCTCTCTAGGGTTTGGCGGTCGATCTATCTGCGTATTCGGATATGGCTCCAGTCGCTGCCCCTGCTGATCGTATCCTTAACCTCCCACGTCCATGGCGTTCTATTATATTTTCGTTCTGTGCTGTTTCTTTTAATTTCGACTTCTTCTTTCTGCTTTGTTTGAAACATGAAAATCTTGATTACATGTTCTGCTTCTTTGGTATGGATATAGTCTGTCCTGCGAATTTTGACCTGTACACGGATGTATTGTTATCCTTTTCTGTACTCTTTTTCCTGCTATATCTATCTTGTAAAATTTATGTTTTACTCAATAAGCGTTCCTTTTTGGTTGGGTGGGAAGGGGTAAGAGTTAACTGGGTCAACTTGATTTATTGGGTCTTTTCTCGTTTTGGGTCTGTCCTTTGAAACAAGACCATAGAGTCCTTCACCTTTATCACCACAGAAACTGCGGATTTGCTGCAGAAGCTGTCATTGGAATCAAAGACCAAGGCTTTGGAAATTGCTGAGCCAACTAAAAAGGTGACTTTCATCTGATATGCCTTGGATCGATATTTATTCGTGAATCTTATAATTGTTACTTGTTGAAGTTGATCCCTAAATTAATTTATCTCCATATCCAGTCTTCAGGTGACTCGGCAGGTATAGCTAATGGTCAGAATCAGTCTAGTGAAAGGTCTTACTCACCCTTGTTACCGGATATGATTGATCCCTCAATGTGCTATTTTCCAAGTGGCTATCCATACACTGCATACTATGGGGGTAAGTTAACAATTCAGGAGCATAAGCTTTAGGTTTCCAGTTTTCATTCAAAACCAGTAATGCGCCGATGGTTTTCCATATTTAATTCATTGCTTGATTGAATTTTTCTTCCTTTTAGCATACGATGGGACTGGGAGCGAGTGGGATAACTATGCAAGATACCTTAATCAAGATGGAGTTGAGATGCCCGTAAGTATTGTATTACTTAGTTAAACCTTAGGACCCCTTCGGTACGTACTATTTGGCTAAACTGTAATCGTTGAATATGCTCAATTTTCTGAAAAGAAAATCGTTTAATAGTCTTCATGCCAGTCAAATTAGTAAAAAGTTGCTTTTCAGCAGAATAAGCCTTCCAAGGCTACCTAGTAGGGACTACGTTTATTGCTGAAGTGCAAAATTGTGTGTTACTTTTTATGGCCTATTGATTGTTTTTATTAATTACAGGCTGTATATGGAGACAATGGAACAGTTATGTATCACAATGGGTATGGCTACACGCCATACCCCCCATATTCGCTTGCCACATCACCTGTGCCCACAGTTGGTCAAGATAATCTACTATATGGTGCTCAACAGTACCAGTATCCTACTCCATATTTCCAGGCTCAGACTAGTGGTCTGTACCCTTCCCGAACCAAAGGTGAGACGGCAAATTCTGGAGCGCCTGGTCAAGCAGCACCTTTGTCCATTGATTCCAGTAAAGGAACTGCCAAGGGGAATGACATTGCAAATGGTGGTGTTGTAAAGGGCTCGAATGGTTCAGTTCCTGCAAAGCCAAAGCCTTTATACCAGAATTCATCTCTCAATGCTAATGGAAGATTGCCCGGAGGTTATACATCTTCTGTATATCATGATCCAAGATTTGCCTATGATGGATTGCACACCTCCATCCCATGGTTTGACACATCATCATTTTCTGATGGGCAGGCTAATATGCCAGTATCTACCACTTCATCCACCAACAGTGTCTATCCTCAGTCAAGGAATCCCAACTTTCGTCCTCATCTCATGGTATGATCTCAGATATGCATCCGATGGACCTTTTTTTTGTAATGACTTGGTATTATAAAAGGATGTGCCAAAGTTGCCCAATAGTTTTGAATTGGCATCTAGTTGTGATTGATTTATTTTGTGGGCGTTGTCTTTGTTTGCAGGGATTGCAGCATCCGAGACCCATATCAGGGATGAATGCAACCAATGGATACATCAATAGAATGTATCCAAACAAGATGTACAGCCAGTATGGTAACAACTATAGATCTAGTGTAGGTTATGGATCAAATGGTTATGATTCTCGCACCAGCAGTCGCAGTTGGCTGGCTTCCGATAACAAATTTAAGCCTAGAGGAGGTAGAGCTGCAGTAGGTGGTTACTATGGGTATAGCAACGATAATATGGATGGTTTGACTGAGCTGAACAGGGGACCAAGGGGCAAAGGATCCAAAACTCAGGAGGGGTTCACCCCAGTTGCTCTAGCAGTGAAAGATCAAAACATCCCGTTGACTGCAGAAAATGACGGAGACAAAAAGAAATCATGCCTGGTTCCAGATATGGATCAATACAATTGTTCAGATTTTTCAGTGACTTATGATGATGCCAAGTTTTTCATTATCAAGTCCTACAGTGAAGATGATGTTCACAAGTCTGTCAAGTACAATGTCTGGTCAAGTACTCCTAATGGAAACAAGAAGCTCAATGAAGCATACCTGGAGGCTCAGCAAAAGTCTGGCAGCTGCCCGATTTTCCTATTCTTTTCGGTGAGCATATTAAGATCCAAGTGATGGCAATAATTTCTTTTTTAAAAATAATAACCATTTTTTATTTATAATTTAACATCCAGGTTAATACCAGCGGGCAGTTTGTTGGTGTTGCTGAGATGGTTGGACCAGTTGATTTCAACAAAAAGGTTGAGTATTGGCAACAGGACAAGTGGATAGGCTGTTTCCCAGTAAAGTGGCGTATTGTAAAAGATGTTCCCAACAGCTTGTTGAAACACATAACATTGGAATACAATGAGAACAAACCTGTAACTAACAGCAGGGACACTCAAGAGGTAGCATTTCTAACTCATTGCATTGGCAGATGTTGTAAATCATTTCTAGTAAGATTGTGATCAATGTGCAATGTCCTTATTATACAGGTTAGGCTAGAACAAGGACTACAAGTGCTAAAGATTTTCAAGGATCATGCAAGTAAACAGTGTATTCTCGATGATTTTGAATTTTATGAGGATCGCCAGAAGAGAATTCAAGAAAAGAAGGCTAAACAGCTGTTCCAGAAACAGGTACTGTAAATGCTTCTATAAGTAATCGTCTTCAAGACTAAGGGTATATTTAGATCCTGATAAATGCCATGCAAAAACAAAAAATGGCACGGAATTACAAAGGTGTATCATGATTTTACCTTGTATGATTGTTCTTACCCTGGGAAATGGAAAGCAAGATGTGTCATGATTACATAATACTACAAATAAATAAATAAATAAATGAGTTTGAATGAACATTCCAAATAAATATGGGCTTATTGTCCATTTTCATATATTTTTTTCTTCCAATTATCCTCCCCTTTTTTATTCCCTAGTATCAAATGGACCTGTGACAGTGTGCCTATGCAACAGGTATGGGAGGGTAAAGTAACCTACGATAACAAAGAAGCAGCGAATGGAGAAATCAAGTCTCAAACATCAACTGAAATTGAAGTAAAGGAAGAAACTACTGCTGCACCAATGAACATTGGTGACTCCAAATCTCTAGAAACAGTAGCCAAGTCAGATGTGAAGGGTGCTAATAAGGAAGTTGCATCAGTAGCAAACAGCAAGAGTGCAGATGTTGTGGTAAATGGTTGCTAGCTCCAATCTTCGTGTACAAGAGAAGCCCAATCTGAACTTTATATAAAAAACGGGCAATAGTGCTTCAGTGGTGATTTGAAGAAGGCGTAAACTTTTGGGCATGCTTATATCTCTCTGTAAGCACAGAATTGCTTCTGAAGGAATCCATTTCTGGGAGTGTCTCAAGAAATCTGCATATCTCCTGCTGCTGATTTCTTAAAGCTCTCTCAAGGATTTATAGGGGATATAAAGCCTCGATCAATTTTCCGCCTGATGGGTTATTTCTCTGTTGACCTAGCTTCCAATGTGGCATTTGCTGCCCCGTCCTTGTTTTTGCAGTTTATTTTTGCTCTTTTTCAATTTGTTTTTTTAGTGTCGAGATCTTTATTATATATTTATAGTTTGGTGTTTGCTTTGCTAAGCTTTGTCATTAATGTCATATCCTTGAAATCCTAGTATGTATTAGATGAAAGTATGGACTTTGGTGGTACTTTTACTTCTGTTCTCTTTAGAGACCTATACGTATATTAAGTTGGAAATGCTTTTGCTACTTGCAAGTTACAAGTTACAACTAGGCTTGGTCATACTCTCTTGTTTGATGGGAGTGCCTGTTTAAGGGCATAATTTTATATTTACTTTTTATTATGAGTTGAGTATTTCTAAAAATATAAAATTATGCCCTTAAAAGACTTCGCAGTTTTGACTAAGGTGAAGTTTCTGGCTTTTCCAACAGTCCATAGTGGCTTGACTCTGCTCAGTTGGAAAGGTAGAAGCCAGCTTACAGCCTTGTACACCTTTTGGGGGATTTCTCAAAGGCGATGGAGAGGAAATTGGGTTAACTGCGCCAGGTGAAGATGGAGCAATGTCTTAACGTTCACTCTACCTCTATTGCAATCTTGCTTATTCTCTCCTCAGGGGTCTATCAAGACGTAAGAATTGAGCCAGATCACTGGACTATATTTTGTTGGTTATTTCAATTTTCTAAACCTCAATAGATCCAAAGTAGTTTTGGTTGCTCTAAAGTCCAAATTGGACTAGAAAGATTGATTTTTAAGTGAATCAATCCGTCCTGCATTGATTTTTATACTGCATTGAAGGTTAATACTTATTTTTAATCTGAAGTAATTGTCAGTTTCTTGAGCTGCTTTGATTTTTTACGTTTTACTTACTTTTTTTTTATAATCCCGGAGTTTATGAACTAACCCCAAAGCCCGTAGACAGTTAAGCCTAGAGGACGAATCTAGCTCACCTGTTTTATTTCCAGGCTGCTTCCACCACACAAACCCGCTACCTTACCATCATCTCCCCTCTTAGCTGCTGACATGGGCGGAGCTAGGGGAGGGGCATCATCCCTGGCCCTGGTCCAGCCCAAATTTTAAAAATGCTTGTATTTTAAGTGTAAAAAAATTCGTGTAAAGAAATTTCCAAAAATATTTTTTGTACCTGCCCAGTTTGGCCAGTGCACTAGCTTCGCCCCTGGGTGCTGAGCAACTTCGTGAAGGTAGGAAGAATCATTGGGAGCAAGGCCTCCCTCATCACTCCTAAATGTGCCTAGCGGGTTTCGAATAAGAAACCTTAGCTAGGACGCCATAACACATGTAGTACTAGTATATGCCTCAGATAGGTGTGACATTTATAAAAGTCAATTTCTGTAAATTAAAATTACTTTTACATATGCCCACATACTTTTTAATTACTTTTTAATTTCCCGTTGACTTTTAAAAATACTTTTTAACCAAGTTTCAGTAACGGAAATTGTCCTAAATAGGACTAATGAGTTCCTAAAAAGCACAAATAGGACTACTACTTTTTAAATTCCCTAAATAGGACTAAACATAGATTTTCTACCCTAAATACCCCTAAGAGTATTAATTCATAATGAAATGTTTTAATTCATAATAAAATCATAAAAAAACGTAAAAAATATTTAAAAAACGTAAAAAAAAATATAAAAAATTTATAAAACATTTATAAAATGATAAATTTAATTTTTTATTTTTTTAAATTTTGTTTAAAAAATAATAAAAATAGTAAAAACCCATAAAAAAAGGAAAAAAATTATGGATACATTTCCCACCGCCATCCGCCGCCTTCCAGCACCACCACCTCCGATTGGTGAAATTTCTTCCACTTTTGGTAAAAAATGCCATCTTTTTCTGAAAATGCCAAAAAGATGGCATAATTACTCTTCAATATGCCAACATTTTCATTGAATATGCCATCATTATGGCATTATTTAAAATGTTGGCATATTTTTCTTCGGTGATGGGAGCTGGTGGTGCTGGGGGTGGCAGGGGTGGTAATGTTTTTTTTTATTTTACGATTTTTTAATTTTTTTTAGTTTTTTTTTAAAAAATATTTTTTGTTTAATTTTTTTAAAAAATATTTTTATTAATTTTCTATTATCTTTTTACGATTTTTAGTATTTTTTTCGATTTTTATTATTTTTGTATGATTTTATTATTAATTAAAACAATTCACAAGTTACAAGGGTATATTTGGCCAAACACACATAAATAGTCCTATTAAGGGAATTAAAAAAATGTAGTCCTATTTGTGCAATTTTGCCACTTTTTAGTCCTATTTAGGGAATTGACTCTTTCAGTAATACTTATATATATGCCCCACAAAAATATTCCCAGTTGACTTTGGTGGAATTTTACATCATTTTATATCAATATGAAATCGGAAACACTGAACTCTAAATTAAGATTTGTATTTTTTGAGATAATGAATACAATTGTGGATTTAAACTGGATTACTGGGAATCCCATACAAAAAAGTCTTCATCATATTAACTGTACGTAAGTACGTTTAGTTATTTTAAAAAATCGGACTGACTTGAAAGAGTGCAAATGGGCAATCCGAACACCCATCACGTTGGCGAATTATGCAATACCAATAAAACTTAGTTTTGGGAAAGGGAAGGAATATTTTTTAAGTTTCTTGGATGACTTTTCTTGATAAATAATGATTCAGTTTGTTCATGATATTTTTTAATACGAAATTATTTCAAATCTGAAAATTATATGTAAAAATGTTCTTTGTCAAAAGTTGTTATATAAAAGTAGAAAAGTTATACTCCGTAAGTTTTATATGATAAAAATTAAAATCATTATCCAAATTTTATTATCATTCACTATTAGTTTGTAATGATGTTGACAATTTCATGCACCATACGTTTACTTCACTACACAAAAGTACAAAACACATGATAATTGAATCACATTCATTTGTGTCATGTACAAATTGTTCATCGAGAATTCATTTACAAATTTCAAATGATAATTGAACAACGATTGAGTGTATTTATTATAGGAAAAAGTGACGTATATACCCTGCATTATAGGGCTGAGAAGTGAGAACGTATATACCCGTGTTAAATTCTTTGGAACAAAAAGCTGGTAAAACTAAAAATAGGCTACAAATATATTCTCCCTAATATTTTAATACTTCCCCGTTAGATCCAGGTAACCTAACCGTTACTTGTCTTCTCCATCTTAGCACCACAAAAGCAACCTTATCTATTTCAGCATTTCTTCACTATCGTAAAGCAGATCAGGATCCTTAGCTGGAGCTTCTCCCTTCTATTATTAGTAATTCTTAATGTCTTATTCCTCCTCAAATTTGTCAACAAGATCTTCACTATCGTAAAGCAGACCTATTTCCAGAAAATTATATTTGGAAAATAGGGATGACATAGTTTAACAATTTTGAAGTTTCAAAAACTAGCGAGAGTAAATCCAGGTACAAAGCTATTTCCTCAAAGAAAATTGATTTGGACACAAATCTGAATATTTGATTTCTATTGTTCTACATATAAAAATCAGGTAAAGATAGAACCCTTAACAACTAATTTGCTACGTATGTACCACTGTTGTTTCTCAGTACAGTGATTTACGATACCTATGTTTCATCTTCCTATCCTCTACAAAGGGTTTGTTGTTGCGCTAAGAACAAGGAGAAGGCAAGAAGAACCGAAGAACTAAAGGGGGAAATTAACGTTAGGTTAGTTTGGGCCAGACGGGAATGTCTTAAAACGTGAGTAGGGGCAGATGTGTACCCTATTTTTAGTTTTATCAGCTTTTTGTTCCAAAAAAATTAATAAGGGTATATATGTTCCCAGCCCTAAAGTTCAAGGGTATATACGTTCCTTTCCCATTTATTATACACTCCCATCGTGAGCATATTGCATTCTTTTAAAAACAAAATATTGCATTCTTATACAAATTAAATAATACTCTACTTATGCAATGTATTAATAAATTTGCAATAGAAGTAAAACATACGTGGGGTAAAATGTATAAATGGTACCTTAACTATTGATATTGTTGTGTTTTGGTATATTAACTTTTAGATGAATCAAATCAGTATCAAAACTATACATAAATGTTTCAATTCACAATATTAATCAAATTTCTTGTCAAAAAATCATGTGGCGGCCAGAATTTTATGCATAAAGTCCATTTCACCTTACTTTTGTCCATGATATCACTGTAGGGTAGACTCTACACACGAAATTTTGATCCCCATGTAGATTTATTTTTTGGTCGCAAATTTGAATAATATTCTCAATTGAAACATTTGTGTATAATTATGGTATTTATGTGATTCATTTAAAAGTTAAGATAGCAAAATGCAACAATACCTATAGTTAATGTACCATTTATGCATTTCACTCAACATACGTGATTCTGTTATTCTGTTAATGCTCACAACACTACTATATGAGAATGCATAGCATGTAAATTTAGTGATTTAGAAGAGCGCGCATATACAATTAAGGGGGTGTTTGGAACTGATTCTTATTATGTTTCTTTTTTAAAGCAGAAGCTGAATCAGAATTAGTTTTCAGAAGCTGGTCACCCCCAACTTCTAAAAAAATTGATTCTAGGAGTAAATTAGAATACTAAAATCACTTCTACATTTTCACCCAAACACTCCAGCTTCTGCTTCTACTCCCTAAAGGAGCAGAACCAGTGTTAAGAATTAGATGCAAACACCCCCTAAATCTAGAGTTACAAATATGTCCTTAATTGGCTACACACCACTCAACTCTATCGGCAAATAATATAATGTCATCAAGTGTAGTATAATATTCATGCACCAATAGCTTGAGGCCGTTTGAAAGTCAATATTAATGTATGTGATGTATACTAGTTTCTCTTGTGGGATCGGAGTTATTTTTGCCGGAATTGCACGCTATATCTATACTAGGCTGAATGCCTGAAAATCCTAAATAATCCGGAGTAGTACATTTTCAGAATTATTTTGCCACAAGGATTCCACCATTGTCAGCTTCCAACTTCAGTGGTAACCAACTCATTGCATGTAAGAAAGCTTGGTTTGCACATGGTACTGTGATGATTTCATTGCTACAAGGTCAGAACACTAAAAGGTTTACATCTTTATTACTGCACAATGAACTGTTCTTTGTAGCTCTTGATCTGTACAGGATAACAACCATCCACTTACATGAATGGCCTAAGGATTTTTCAAACGGAATAGAATCTAACAATAATTGCACAAAGAAAGATGTCAAAGCTCCACTCTAGTGCACAGCAGCAAACAGCTAATCCAGAAAAATCACTTCCCAATTGAGCTTTAGCTTCAAAAAATGGCTTTGAATGAACTTTCACACGAAACCCGCTTCCTACTTGGAAGGATATCCCAGCTCTTCTATATATCACAAACAGTGCTGGTTCCTGATGAGCTAGCTACTCTTCTGCTCAGAAATATGTCCAACTAAGTTTGTAGCCAGAGGAAGCCAGTTAATAACATCATAGAATGAAGCAAAAACATTGTCGTTCTTCCTCTTCGTTATCACTGTCACCTGTTTCGCTGCACACTTGTTCATGTCAAAATAGAGCAATGCTACATTATGAATATAAAACAAGCAGTGACATAAGCCTTTTACATGGATATAGCTCATTGTACACCACCACTTTTGAAGTATGGGTGTTCAGTGGTAATTCATGGGAACAAAGTTCAATAAACTCTTATTCCATATTAAGATTTGAGATTTCATTTAAGCAAGGTAATATAGCTCAATGGAAGCATTAAAGTTCACCTATCATAGTATCATCATCTAGAGCTACTATAAGAACCACATTCTTACAATAATGAGTTACGGAGGGGGTATTAGATATATGTGTGTAAAAAATATTTTACAATTTAGAATATACTATGAAATAGAGAATTCAAAAACTGAAAGACTAACCAAGAAACAAAAGATAGAAGAAGAGATAACAAAAATACAACAAAATAGAGGAATAAAAAACTCAAAAACAGTTTCCCTGACGTATTTGTCTCATAATGAAACAATATAAAACAACATGTTATACTCCATATAAGATATTGGACTAATCCTCATATCAAGTTGACATACGATAAGCCTCAAAATCTTAACAAGTAAGTTCTTCAATCATTTAAATATCAAATAGAAGAATTTACATTACCTATACCCTATTTAGTAACGTAATCGAATAATTTAATTGGAGTGTTTATCTATACAATTCTTCATGTCTAAACTTCCAATCTTATTCTTGCTTAGGTTTAACTCAATGTCATAAAGCAAAATCTAAGGTAAAATCCTTTGAATATAAATGGTCATCTAATTTCATTAATATTAGGCCTTTGATAATGTAGTATTTAAAAATTAATCCTACATTCATCCCAAATTATTTTGCAAAAGAAAAACGATTTATCGAGTAAAAATGAAATTTAGTGATGGTAATATCTAGAAACTAGGTAGAGACTTATATTGAATAACAAAAATCAAATCTAAAATGATGAGAAATCATTGAGAATATAATGAATTTGTGTTGAGCAACAAAAATAACTCACTAATATTTACAACAAAAACTCACCTGCTTTCAAACTCCTTGATCTCAGCAAGCTCTTGCCCCATGCTATAATCCACCCACCTTACACTCTTCTTTTTCTTCCTCCTCATCTCCACCTGCTTTGGAATACTATCTTTCCTAATGCAGCTTCTACTGCCTCCATTAATGGCAGATTGTAGATTAACCCCTTGCAGATTCTTCACCTCCTCACTAACCTCTGCTGTAAATTCAGCAACAGCAGAAACAGCAGTTGAAGAAGGGAGACTGGGGGTGTTATCCAACTTCAGCTGGGATTGAGAAGGAGATGATCTGCAGAGGCACATCAATGGACGGCAGAACAGGATCCCCATCAAACACCTTTCCTTCATCATCAATAATCACTCATCTCTGTTACTGTTCTTGCCGCCGCCTCTCTTCCATCCAATGCCCACCCCAGATTTTCATATAGCAAGAGAAAGAAATCAAATTATTGGTTGGAGGTGACAGATTCCACCTGTGCTGACACACATCACAGTAAAATAAAATAATCCTTAAATGCATCAAAAACAAAAACAGGGTTCTCTCTTTTCTGCCCAGAAAGAGTATTAAATTAAATTAAATAATCCGCAATCTAGCAGAAAGGTATATATTGATCTTGTTTTTGGCTTCTTATCAAATGTAAATGTGAATTAAAGTGGAGAATGGGAAGCTTTTACCAGAAATAAAGAATGCAAGAAACACAAAATGGAAAAATTATTATTTGGAGGATTATTACGATGAACCCCAAAATTCAAGTAAAATTCTGGGTGGCTAGGCTGTAGGCTGTAGCTAGCTATCAAATAAGCAAGCCTCCTTTCGACATAATCCTGAAATTCTGATTTCTAAAAGACTCTTAAGTGCTGAAAGAAAAAGACACATTCTTTATCTCTCCGTATTGACCGGGATCAGGTCGATAGAATTTATTAGGGTAGTTAAGAGCAATCTATTGTTTTAGGGTAGAGCTAGGTGTCTCCCACAAACAAGTTGTCTGTCCGGAAACGAGTTGTCGGGAGCGTTGTCTGTCTGGAGTTGTTTGCACAGACAACTCGTTTCCGGACAGACAACTTGTCTGTGGGAGACAGACAAGTATACAACTTTTGTGTACACCAATCTTTTTTCATTGTTTTATACGGAGTATAGTAAAACTGAGTATTAAAAGGCTGATATGTTAATTTCTCATTGGTTAACAACAATATCTAAATCACTAATGTTATAAATTAAAGATGGGAAAATTAATACAAATACCCTAAACTTTTAAGGGGTGTGAGATGAACACGTCAAACTTGCATATGTAATTAAAATACCCAAAACTTTAAATAAAAAATTATTTTTACATCATTGTCATGTATTATGTTTTTTAGAAAATGTAAATTTATGGTCAAAGTGAGACCACCGGGGCATGCCACGGTGTTACACTAGTATTAATATTAATCTCAGGTAAGATAAAATGGTCATTATATTGTTTTAAAGAATATTCTTTAGTCCCCAAAATTCTTAGCTTCTCAATTACCTTTTTAGGTTGTTCCAAAAAATTCTTCTCATTCACTTTTTTGGTAAGGCTTGTGTGCTTACCATTCATTTAATTTTTTCTCACTTAATCAGAATCATACATGTTCATTTTATTTTCATTTTTTAAAATTACGATCCAAGTCACATTGAGAAGTTTTTTTTCCTGACGGTGGGAGAATTTGATTGTGTTACTGCAATTACATATTCTGACTTATCACTTTTCTCAATTAATTTTGAGAAAAGGGTAAGATATGCCCTCACACTTACATAAAAATGTCAAATAAGCCCTTATATCTGAGGCTCTATCCGCCCGTCACCATTTGGGGCGGTTCCCGGTGGAATTTGTTTATGATTTTTTAGCACCTTATTCATTAAGTCTAATTTACTCATACCAAATTTCAGCTAAAATTTCAATCGGGAAGGCATTCAAATGAATTCTTGAAGATAACTGTGCAGTTATCTTCAAGAATTCTTTTCAATGCCTTCCCGATTGAATTGTTAGCTGAAATTTGGTATGAGTAAACTATGATTAATGAATAAGATGCTAAAAAATATTCATCAAAAAATTCCACCGGGAACTGTCCCAAATGGCGACGGCCGGACAGAGCATCCTATATAAGGGCTTATTTGACTCTTTTATGTAAGTTCGAAAGTCTATTTGACCCTTTTCTCATTCATTTTTTATTAAATTTAACTCCATAAAAAAAAATACTAAAATATATTTAGAAAAAATGTCCGAGAAAAAAGCTCTATAAAAGGTAAGGTGTCACCATAAGGGTGAATAAGGGTCAAACCTTTCCCTAAATTTTTTGACAAGAGATTGTTTTCAAAATTTGAAATTCATGATCTCTCGATCACATAATAAGACTCAATCTATCCCATTTTTTATTACTTTCCTTTTTGGGATACTTTTCTTGCATTTCTTAAATAATTGTTTGGGTGGTGGGATATTGTTTCACATTTACTACAACAATCAACACAACATAATTTTACTTTCCTTGTTACATCAAAATATGCAAAATTTTGATAGGGGAGGGATAATTAGATGACACATGCTTAATAGTTTAAAATAAAAAATAACGCAAAATTGATATTTATAATATAGGAAAAATTGAAAATAATAATCTCAACTATTGATTATTTTTGTATAATCCCAATTATATGGACCCTCCGCCAATATTTTTGCCGGTCTTAATTGCTTAACGAAATGAACAATGAACTAATTAACCGTTAAAATTCGGTTATGTAAGTAGTTCTATTTTATAAAACGATCAATATAAGTTGAGATTGTCATGTAAAATTATCTAAACTTAGTGTTAAAAGGGTCTGGGTCTCAACTTTTTTAAATGTAAAGAGGTCCCAAAAGGTCAAGCATGAATTAATAGGAGTATATTATTAGCAACTTAGTACCCATACGAAGCTATAGTAGTATTATATACGTACTCTGAATACATTATAAATACTACGTTTATAATAACTTAAATGCTAATATGTGAGCAATAAATTTAACTTTGTAATAACATACTTTTTTTTTACCGAAAGTAATTAAACATGTAATAATAGAAAAATAGGAGGAAAATCATTCCAAAAATGTACACACCTCTTTCTATATTTTCTACTCCCTCCAGCAATATACTTCTGGTTTGACTTAGATCGGAATTTAAAAAAGTGAGAATAAAATGGAAATATATGATTATGATTGGGTAAGAAAAAGATAAACAAATACTAGTCACACAAACCTTTCTAAAAAGGTAAATGAAAAGATTTTATTTTTTGGAACGTGTCAAAAAGAGAGTAATTTTCTTGTTTTTACGTTTATATTTATATTTATTTTTCATAGCAATAGAACTTTTAGTGTAATATTAATAATCACGAATTTAACATTAAGAGTTGAACAGTGATTCTAACTTTAGTCAATTTTATACGACCGTACTTATGATATGAGACAAATGTGGTACTAATTTTAATTTACATAAAAATTACAATGTTTCCACTTTGATGTTGATTTTTTGTGACCTTTTTAGTTTTTACAGGGTCAAAGTAAAATGCGAAGTAAAGTTTAAGATTTGAATAGGAATATAGGATTAATCTTCAGTATTCGAGCTACAACAGTACAATAATCTCAATTTGTTGTCAAGTTTATGACAACATTTTTTTTTTTTGTAGAAGTAAGCCCGCCACGTTTTCTCTAGTTGAAGCTGATAATTTAGTCTCTTAGTCATATTTCTCTCTGTTAATATTGAGTAAAAGATTCTTTTAAATGCATAATTCAAAAATCCAGGAAATCCAATGAAACCTTCACAATTTTGAACTAAATTTAACAAAATGGACTAAAAATTTTACGAAACCCCATCGATGCATGCATTACATTCATTTTATTAACTACACCCATACTCATACTCGTAGAGCCGCAGACCAGTCAATGGATTGGGTTTAGATATATGTCCCATTCAGATGCTCTTTGAGGTTGAAAACTCCAGGCCCCCCAGCCCCTCCCCAGACCCCATAGAGTAAAAAAAAAAGGGTATGAATTTATATTTTGTTACGTTTATCGGATCCGGTTGGGTTTTCTTTTTCATTAATGGAACCGTACACATTATACTCCCTCCGTCCCTGAAACAAGTTCACCCTTTCCTTTTTGGGTAGTCCCTGAATCAAGTTCACCTTTCCATATTTGGCAAATTATCTATATCAAAACAGTGCCAAACAGTGCCAAACAGTGTCAAACAGTGTCCAAACAGTGTCCAAACAGTGTCCAAACAGTAAAATTTACCCCCCAGTAAATTTCTTTCCTTAATATGTGTGAAAAGCAATGGTGAACTTCTTTCGGGGACGGAGAGAGTATATTCAAATAAGCCTACTATTCATCTATACACAAACATACATATACATCTAGACATCTAGTGACTACTTTATACACACATGACACATCTTTTGTTATTCGAAAAGAAAATGTTTGTTTATGTTATTAGTTCTGATTATTTTTAGTGGAATAGTTTATCTAAACTACGTAACTACTAATTATTATGTCTCAAACTCTTAATTTTATTTTAACTTTTAAATCCTTTAATACTTTTACCCTTCCCAAATGAAACAAGTCTACATTTTTATAGAGAATTTACAATATTATAAACTTCAATTGGATGAGTCTACTCGATCCGATTACGGGACCCATTAGATCAGGGTTTTGAACCACAATTTCAGACCCTTGATATACAGGCCGGCCAGATCTGGAACCAAAATTTCAGACTCACTAGATATAAAGATCGGGCCTGGAACCATTAAAAGTTAACGGATTCGGATCTGGAACACGATATTCCAACCTAGACCCAATCCATTGAAGATGTGCATACAATATTTAATTTTGCACCCGGATATGACTTATCGATTGTGGTATTTTTAATGTGCAAAGAGTTTACGCTAAGAACTAATCAAGTACAAAGCAATGTTTCCGAATATTTATATTCTTTCATATACTAGTACAGTAGTACTTTACTTTCTTAACGTGTTATACGATGCCAAGAGCGCATAATAATAACTCGTACTTTCTTAATTAAGAAATGACATATATATATATCGTGGAGGGACAGATGATGATGTTGCTTAGCTTGCTTTAACATTACTCTCAAATAGTTGTGCTTCAATAACTATGTTCGCGTGGATATATAATTCAATTGATCACATGAGTGAAATTTGAGACAAGTGATTTAAGATCGTAGTGTAGAAGTAAACTCTCAAAGTGAGAGGGAGCTACTTGTACATCGTGGACACTGATATAATCTCTATGTTTAGCTGAGTTATGATAATTTACAATTTGTACTTTCTCGGGTCGGGACGTGATGAGCCGGGAGATTGTTTTTAGTGCAAGGTTTTACTTAATGGGCATGTGTAACGCATTTATTGCTTAATCCCATTTCTAAACAAAAAGCGTGAGAAGTGATACATGGATTAATGGAGTAATCTTAAAGGGAAAGTTGAACAAATAAATAAAATAAAATGTTCAAATGCGGGAGTATACTTTTAGAGTATCCCACCTTTCAACCCGCCTAATGTATAAATAATTACAGCTAATTATAACAACATGGTGTAATTAATCATGATTTACTTCGTTTTGCTTTTCCGTTTTCAAAATTATTATTATTCCATTATTTTGTTGGAAGGTTAGTGAGTTAGTTACACACCTTATGTCTCCATTTTGCCCTCAAGTGGGCAAAGAATGAATGTTTGGTTTGATTATATGCCCCCACCATAAATTCGATTCCAAAACCCCTAATTGGAGTAACGCAAGGTCCCCAGTAACAGAACTCTTCCCAATCAGGAAAAAGAAAAAGAGAAAAAAGAAAAAAGGAAAAGAAGAACAAAAGTGATAGAGAAAAGTCTTAGCTGGAAAATTTTAGTGG